CTTGTGGTCTAAATCTGCAGACATTCGCTGTGCGGGCATCGATGGCATCGGAGGTACTGATGGTGTGGCCAACTGTGGAGTCACCTTCTTTGGTGGCGGCGGCTGCTGTACAGGTCCTCCAATCTGTTCATTCAAACCAACAATAGTCTCAACATTTAAAAAACCAAATAACAGTAAATAATAAATACTTTAAGCTTTAGTTTCCTCTCTTCAATCTGTTTGTGAATATCAGCCATCATTTTATTCACTTGTAATGGATTCAGATTCACGGCAGGAGTGGACTCATTGTCTTCGGCGGCCATCGGGTTATTGGGGGTGTTATTGAAACCATTGTTGATATCTATGGGAAGCGTTGCGGAGTCTCTAAAACGTGACTTCTTTGGGCCCAACATGTGTGACATTTACCACTCAACTAATCCGCCAATAGATGTGCTATTAATTTAATCAATAATTTAAAATCAAATCAACATTTAGTTAATATCGCTATTAATTCAATCAATACTTACATAAAGTGTATAAATATTACAATAATTTACAAATTGTCTACAAATTCAATACTAAACACAAGTATTGCAGTGAATATGACTTCACAAACAAATGTACGCCAAAAATGTGTTGATTTTTATGCGATTATTAGTTTGAAAATGTGTTAATTGTATCGAAATATCATTAATTGTTGTCTAAGTATTCATTGATTGTATTTTAAATGAATGAATAAATATTTCAATAATAAAACGATTGAAACGTATTTCAAGTGTTTTCATGAATTGTGTGTAAAATGTGTCTCAAAGGGACCGACACTTCATTACAATTGTTTCGTTGCTTTTCATTGTTTTAATTCACTATAAAATTGATTTTAATTACATTTAATCACAAAATATTAGTTTTAAATTACAGTAGAATACAATAATTGTTAAAATTTGATTAAAATATTTAATTATAAGTAAATTAAATATGAAATGAAATTACAATTTATTGAAAACCCCTTTCAATGCAAATAAAGCGCCAAAACTTGCAATCATTTGCTTTTGATTTGATTTGTGTTTTGTTTAGTGTTTTAATTGACAATTGATTTCAATATTTAGTGTTTGTTTTGATTGACTGAATGTTTGGTTATTATTGTTATGGAAAGCGTTTCACTGAATCTGGATTTGGATAACAATGAAGAGGACGACGACATCGACGACAGACATAAAGAGGTGACCATTCATTGAAACCATTGATCATTGATGTTAACAATTATATGTATCACTGAATCAGATCCAGGGCTTGTTGTCCAACGCTTTCGATGACATCAGTTCATTGAGCGAAGAAGAGGGCGAATATAGTCTCGAGTTTAAGAAGTTTACGATCGATGAGGAAAATGAGACACAGAATGCGAGAACTGATGCAATCAAGCCGTGGAACCAATACACCAATGGCTTGACGTCAACGCCTCGTCTTCACAACCAATTGTACAACAATTATGACAACAATTTATGGCTAAAGACATCGAAACCTCGTCTTAATGTGAGTGACATTCTTGAAGGCGAAGAAGAGGAGGAAGAGAATGAAGGAGATGTCGAGGACAACGACAATGACAATCATTTCTGTGCCGACACTGCGAACCACAAAATGAATGGTCATTTTGATAGCAAAAGTAGTTTAGAAAACGCCAGAACTGACCAATTGTTTGGAACCAATGAAAGATCTTTTAGTCAAAAACACGTCCAGTTATTGATCGAAGAAAATCAAAGGCTTAGCAATGAATTGATTGTTTCGCAACAAAAGTTGTCC